TCTGATTCTGGCTGGGTGATGAGGGTGGTACATACGTATGAGAATCGTAGTGTTCTTCGGATGTCAACAGTCTCACAGCAGCGGGACTGTAACCGGTGGGTGTGTGAAGGTCCTCGTCATCATAGGGAGGGAGGCTGTAGTCGGGCGGGCGCGACATATTCGGATCCATAACTGGTGAAAAGAGGCTGGAATGGAATGCAGTGGACACGGGTACTTGTGACAATACGAGCTGAGCTATTCGAGTAACGGTTCAGGGTCTGAACAGCGAAGGATACTTTGTATCTCGACGGCTGCTGCCGCTGAGACGATCCGAATCGCGTACTAAAGATGGTGAAAGCAGTGTTGGTGTTGATGTTGATTTGCGCCTCCTGTTGGTGGTTCAAACTCTGATATCAACGAGGCGTTGATTGTGTACGAGCTTGTGGTCGGTGTAGGTTTAGATCGTCGTCGAATGGCGGTGGGACAAGACAAAGAGAGCAGAGACAAACAACGCGCAAATGGTATCGCAATGCGAGACAATGAATGATTCTTCGGAATGTCTCCTTTTTCGTTAGGATGTTGTAGTACAATAGGACAGGTAAAGTATAGTAGAATAAAGTAAAGTACGGAGCGAGCGGAGCTTTGGATCGGGTTTGGTTGCGGGTATGAGAGAGATGAGGATCCAATGGTGGGGGAGGAGCTTAGCATGGTAATCCAAACAAATTACGTCGCCCTGTTGGCATGGCAACGCAGCCCAATTCGGACAGCTCTGTCTTACACCAGGTCTCACAATTTCTGGCGGCCCGCTTTGTTTCAGTGACTGGGAGACCATCAGTGGAGGTTGATTAATTGCTTGCATTTCTTCAACATTCAATCCATTGCTTTTAGTCTCTCGCTTGTATTCTCAGTTGCTCAATTGAGAACTATCATGACATTGAGAGCTCTTACTCAACTGTCTACTCTCCCCCCCGAGACACCCGTGGATGAACTCCAACAGGTGTGACGATCACCTAGCAACAGTGACACAGCCTTCCCTGAACCATGGATCATGGCGCTTAGCATCTGAGAGTGGATCCTCCATTCAACGGTCTCGATCCTACACTGTACCTGATCGGTAGATAACAAGCAATCACAGACGTAAGCTCGGAGTATTTCAAATTCTAATTCATTGGTATAATGAACTTGAAGGGCGAGAACAAGGGTAGAGCTAATGGCAGGACTATCGATGTAGTCTCATCCCCTGATCTCAAGGGTCGAATCTTTGTCGAGACTCGATGTACACCCCAAGCGTGGAAACAAAGCCTTGTTTTCGGACAACCTCAATAACCTTTTCGACGCCACAAACACATGGCCAATGTTTTGGCTTGGCTGTGGTTCGTACTTCCAAGGTCAGGGTAGACACATTCTTCTTGAAGCTTGAGCGTCTTGAAGTGAGACTGTGCGTTGATTGACGAGCCATACCCCGGACACGTCAGCCACGAGGCGAGACCACGATCACAAAACAAGCATCCAGTTTAATATAGATACGCGGGCGGGTCACAGCATAAACGAGCTTTAGACTCAATGATGCGATTTTAGAACAGCCACGAGGACTCGAAACAAGGTAGTTATGGATGCGTATCCAGAAAGAACTCCGTCACGAAAAAAAAGATTGACAATAAAAACTGCGGTATAAGACGGTGAGCTGCAGTTCCAAAAATTCCTTGTCACATATGAATAGGCGGTCTTCAAATGGCTCTCAACAGGGCCTTTTCATGAGTAACTTAGGCTGTTATCACAACCTCGTTCAAGGTGAACGTTAAATAAACAACGTGGAAACTCTACATCATCATAACCACTTGCAGATTGAGGGGGGGTCAACGTTCGTGAGCCAACGAAGCCGACAGAGACGGTACCAAGCTGATGAGCCGACCCGATGCTTCTGATAGCCGAGATCGTCAGAGAGAATGGCAAGACCAAAATGCGAGTTTCTTGTCCTCTTATACCTCAGACCTTGGCACGTCAATGGCTTTGAGGAGAAGGCAAAGTTGTCATCGATCCAACCACCACGCTGCATATCATGCTTTCCCCTCAAAGTATCCAGGAAGAGCCCCCGAGATGCCACGTGAACTGTTCTTTTAAGAAGAAGTCTTATCCTCGAAAGGGGTTTGAGGAAGTTTGCTCAGTGCTTTTCGAGGTTCTGCTTCCAATGGGCTTGCAAAATCTGTCATCTCATATCACTGGATCATTACTACGCAGCCAAAATGGAAACGATTGAAGAAATTCAAGGTGAGCTTCGCTCCGACCCGACACCACAAGATGCCAGACCTCCTGAAGCCAAGACGAGATCAACAACTGCAGTGCTACAAAATCCACTGGCCAACATGACGCATGAGGAACTGGTCGCCGATGCAGAGAACTTCGCCCAGGATAAGGGATTGGACAGCTACAGGCCGTGGTTTTCCAAAGGCGCACACATAGCCAAAGTCATCAACACGCCCAAAGGATACGACGCGATAGAGGAGTTGACAGAAGAGGACAAGCAGCTTCTGAGGGACGAGGATGAACATCGCTGGAAGTCTCAGCCAAAGATGCTTTACTTCCTCTGCGCATTGTGTGCGGGCTGCGCTATTGTGCAGGGCATGGACCAGACAGTCATCAATGGTGCACAGGTAAGTCCTCCCTCAGTATCAAGAGGCAAACAGACTGATAATCCAGCACTTCTACTTCGAAGAGTACAACATCAAAGACAGAGCGCTGCAAGGTCTGACAAACGGCGCACCATATGCCTCTGCTGCCCTCATCGGATGCTGGCTCAACGCCCCCTTGAATAGATATTTTGGCCGTCGAGGAACCATCGCCTTTTCCTGTCTTTTGGCTTTCGTCACAGGAATATGGCAAGCTGCTGCCAACAGTTGGATATGTCTCCTCATTGCACGCTTCACCCTCGGACTCGCAGTCGGCGCCAAGTCAAGCACCACTCCCGTATATGCAGCTGAATGCGCACCAAAGGCAATCCGAGGCGCCTTGACCATGATGTGGCAGATGTGGACGGCCTTCGGCATCATGCTCGGCTTTGCTTCCTCTTTAGCTTTCCAGAATCTCAATTGGCCGAACCAGTACGCGCCTTGGAGATGGATGATTGGCTCAACGTCTCTTCCACCATTGATTGTTGGCCTTTTGGTCTTCCTTCTCCCCGAGAGTCCGCGTTGGTATATGGATAGGGGAGATTTTCAGAAGGCATACCTTTCGTTTAGGAAGCTTCGTCGGGCTGACCTCCAAGCTGCTCGGGATCTCTATCTCGCTTGGAAGTTCTTGGAGGCTGAGCAAAAGTCCAAAGAAGGCCGGAAAACTTTGAAGGAGCTCTTTGCAGTACGAAGGAACTGGAGAGCTGCGCAATCTTCGTGGTTCTGTATGCTCATGCAGCAGTTCTGTGGCGGTATGCCCCCGAAAACATACCTTCAATACTATGTAACTAACAAGTCTACAGTCAATGTGATCGCATATTACAGCACAAAGATCTTTACAGATGCAGGGTACACTCGATCTCAAGCCCTCCTGGCCTCATTCGGTGGCGGTGCCATCAACTGGATCTTTGCGCTGCCTGCAATTTGGACTATTGATACCTTTGGTCGCCGTAACCTCCTGTTAGTTACGTTCCCCATGATGAGTGCTTGCCTGTACTGGACCGGCTCATGCTTCGGGATTGAAGACAACGGCCTTCGTCTTCCTCTCATCGCCACCAGTATTTACATCTTCATGGCCGTTTACTCACCTGGTCTCGGTCCGGTTCCCTTTACATATAGCGCAGAGGCATTCCCCCTACATATTCGGGCTCTTGGTATGGCCTCAGCAACATCAATTACCTGGGCATTCAACTTTTTGCTCAGCTTTACGTGGCCCATGATGGAAAAGGCATTCAAACCATCAGGCGCCTTTTACTGGTATGCGACGTGGAACATGCTCGGATTCGTGTTTACGTATTTCCTGCTTCCAGAGACGAAGGCACTGTCGTTGGAAGAACTGGATATCGTGTTTAGCGTCCGGAATCGTGACCATGTTCAACACTACTCCAAGCGAATGGGATGGTACACAAAGAGGCTCATGGGTCGGAGCCCGGATCCCATGCCACCGTTATATGAGTTGGAGAATTCTACGGTTGGATCAGTGTCCGAAGTGGCAGCCAAGCAGACCAATGGCTCATCTGCTTAAGAAGAAGTCATGAGTGATCGATGTAATGTAACAGGGCATTCTCTCAGATTAAGGGCTGGGAGTTTCAATTAATGATTAGGGCGCAAGGCTTGGGCAAGGTTAAATTGATATCTCTTTATAAAAATTAGGCTCTTTATGATATGTTTTATGAGAAAGGCCCTAAGTGCCGAATGTCATAGTGTTACCTTTCAGAGCGTTCAACTTGTCGCGATGTCCTACCCAGACTTTTTTTGCATATGTCGTTTGAGTAGGAAGATCAAACGAAGTCTCTAAGTGATTATGAATCAATTTTATTGATTACGGCTTCGAAACCCATCGTTGTTCGGGAGGAAGACGATAAACAAAAGTTCCAGAGCACAATTGTCTCAAAGTGTAAGGTGACAATAAGATGAGCACTTCGCCATTAATGAAACATCGTCAAGCCAGATATTATAGAGCTCAGGCACCAAATCCAAAGAAGCAAGATATCAATTCAATTTGCCGTTAACTTCTAATTAGTGATTTCGCAAGATAGCGTCGTATCTAGCAAGCTCACGACACCATGACTTTAAGACCTACCTAGGTATCATTCAGTCTGACTGTTGTGTATGAGTTTTATTTGAGGGCTGAGCTGAGCTTGGGGTCCCCTGTAGCTGTGTTACCCACCGTAGATAGCTCGCCATAGTGGAGACCAATCACTGTGAGATCCCAGCCGAGGCTTGCGAAGCACCTCTTATCACTGAGTGACGAGACGGGATCTTCATTCCAAAGCTCCCATCTCCTCTTTTACCTCTCAAATCTTGTATAGCCTTATCCATTGACATTGTGAAGCTTCACACCAAGAAGCAACAATGGATGAAAAGGCCCAACTTCCGCCTTACAGCTCCGTTTCGCTTCCAGCGCCGGTTGGCCTTCATCCTGGTCAACAGCGGAACAGACGGTTGTTGCGTCGCTCACGCGGTATCAGACTCTTTGCTCTAGCCTGTTTGACCTTCATTGTCTTTGCTCAATGGCGACAACTCGCGCCGCTCAACAAGACAACTTTGTCTATCCAGAAACTCAATGAGGACCTCGAGACGTGTAAGAAGTTCCGTGTCAAGCCGCAAGACCCGCCTGGTCTCGGCCGAGATAAGAATGCTCGTTATATCGACGGCGGCAAGCCCACTTTGATCAAGAACGCTACTATCTGGACTGGAGAGCCCACCGAGGGAACCAGCCAAGAGGATGCGTATGCTGGCAAGGGCTGGGAGTGGGTGCAGGGCGATGTCTTTCTCGAAAAGGGTCTCATTCAACGCGTTGAGAAGGACATCAAGACTGCTTCGCTACCCGATGACACAATTATATACGAGGCTCATGGCCGCCGCCTGACCAGCGGTATTGTTGACACTCACAGCCACGCTGGCGTCTATCCATTGCCCTCTCTGGAGGGAAACTCGGATGGCAATGAGATGTCGGATAACATCACACCTTGGGCTCGAGCCATCGACTCATTGCTCCCGCTTGATCCTCAAATCGAGGTCATCAAGTCAGGCGGTGTTACAACTTCACTGATCCTTCCTGGTTCCGGCAACAATATTGGCGGAGAGGCCTATGTCATCAAGCACGCAGTTGGCAAACCTGACGGCCGCAGGGAAATCAGTGCCGTGGACTTGCTTGCCGACCCAGACCGTAACTGGCGGTACATGAAGATGGCATGCGGTGAAAACGCGAAGCGTGTCCATGGCCGGGTTGGAAATAGGCCATTCAGCCGTATGGGTGAAAGCTACGAGTTCCGCCACGCCTTTGAGCAAGCAAGAGATTTGATCCAGAAGCAGGATGACTGGTGCGCCAAGGCTGAGTCCCAAGGTGTTGAGTCTTTGGATGAGTACCTTCCTGGCGAGATTGCTTGGGAGGCTCTCACTGCTGCGCTTCGTGGCCAGGTCCATATCAACACACATTGTTACACGATCCCCGACTTGGAGGCCATGGTGGATCACACCAACGAGTTCAAGTTCCCTGTCCGAGCCTTCCATCATGCTCACCAGACATATCTGGTTCCAGAGGTGAGATCGTGTTATATTGAAAGGCTTCTTATACTAATTTCTATTAGATCCTCAAGCGAACTTGGGGCGGACGTCCTCCTGCATCTGCTCTTTTCGCCGATAACATGTTTTACAAGACCGAAGCATACATTGGCTCAGAGTATGCTGGAAAGATCCTTCATGAGAATAACCTCACGGTAGTGTATGTTAGCGACAACCCTGTGATCAACGCCCAGCATGTCCTTTTTGAAGCAGCCAAGGCTTATCACTACGGGCTTCCTTACCACGTCGCACTGGCCAGTGTGACATCTGCTCCCGCTGAACTGCTCGGTTTGGGCAAGCGTCTAGGAAAAGTCAAGCCTGGTTTTGATGCCGACGTTGCTGTCTGGGATAGTGACCCTCTTAGCGTTGGCGCAACTCCTGTGCAAGTCTGGATTGACGGCACAGCTCAGTTCGAGGACCCTATTGAGCTGATGAAATCACAAGAAGCAGCTGCATTCGTGGAGAAGCCTGCCGAGATTGTTGAGGAGCCAAGCAGGCTCGATACTCTACTCTTCACTGGCGTCAAGAAGGTGTTCCTTGAAGATGAGAAGACTTACGAATCTCAAGACAAGCCGGTCAATGTGGTTGTTCGCAACGGCAAGATTTCTTGCATTGGCACTTGCGACCAGGAGTTCCAAGCTGTGGCTGCAACTGGCGCAAAGACCATTGCACTCAAGAATGGTTATTTGACCCGATCTTTCACAGCTGTGGGTGGTACTCTGGGTCTTAGCGAGATTGATGCTGAGGACGCAACTAACAACGGACCCAACCCATTGATCTTCTCTCGGGCTATCGATGGCCTTGCTCTTGACTCCAAGAAGTTGCATGTTGCCTCTCGATATGGAGTTACCAGAGCCGTCTCAGCTCCTGTTTTTGTAGGTGGCGCAACCCATTTCGGTACCAGTGTCGGATTCTTGACTTCGGCATTGACGACCCTCGAAGAAGGTGCAATTTTTGCTCCCGACCTGGCAGTTCACTACACTCTGGACCTGAATGTCAGAGGTTCAACCAGCTACTCAGCCGCTTTTGGTGGATTGAGGAACAAGTTACTCACTGCTGCTACAACACCGGAACCCGCGAGCAATCCGTTCTCAGAAGCGGCCTACCTAAAGAAGGTGATCAGTGGCGAGCAAGTTCTTGCCCTCACCATCAACAGTGCAGATGGCATTGCAACAGCTCTTCGAATCAAGTCTGAGATCGAGGGTGTCCTCACAGCAGCAGACTCAAGCAAGAGAGTCGCGGGTCTCAAACTGGCCATTATTGGTGGTGCTGAGGCTCACCTGGTGGCCAAGGAGCTTGGAGAGGCTGGCGTTGGAGTCATCCTGTCTCCACTGCAGGCAAAGGGCGAAAGCTGGGACTCGCGTCGCGCCTTGACCGGTGCACCACTCACAAATGGCACAACCATTGATGCCTTGGTTGACGCAGGGGTGATTGCTGCGATTGGACTGCAAGAAGACTGGGAGCTTCGTGACTTAGGATTTGCAGCTGGCACTGCATTCAAGAATGGAGGTGGACGATTGAATGAGAAGGAGGCTATTGATCTTGTGAGTAGCAACATTTACAAGATTCTTGGGGCAGATGAAGAGTCAGCCAAGGACTCTGGTCACTTTATGGTGACAGAGGGTAGCCCTCTTGAGATTGGATCGAGAATCAAGGCTGTTGGACATGGCAGGGGTGATGTATCTGTGTTTGTTTAGGCGTACCTTTCGATAGCGTACGAGTACTCAAGTACGTGAAGAAGAGTTGGATGAATTATATGTGTTTATCTATAAAAATCCGCTATTAGAATGGCCCCCTCGAAACTTAGTGCTATGTTTCAAGACAGTGACAAAGACTCAAGCGTATCTAGATCAGGAGTCGAGTAAGAAATTACGGAAAGACGTCATTCTTGTTTCTGTTACCTTACCTAAGCTTTACTAAAATCTTCATAATGCAACATTACAAGAGTTAAATACAGCATAGAATCATAATAAACCCTTCCTCCTCGCCTTTAATATGAATGTTGTTGTAGATTTATAATATGAGTGGCAATCTGCAAATGAGGCCATCACCAACAGAAATACAGTGGGAGCCGAGCCTTCGGGAAGCGGGGATTACAAACAGTGACGCGCGGGAACAGAGTGGAGCATCGCGCGCGGGTAATGACCAAGAGCGATTCCATTGGCTGAGATCGTGAATCTCGTCGATTTCGGCAGAGGTTTTCGGAAGTAGCAAGCGGAAAACGGAAAATGCTCCACAAGCCATGATAGCCCCATTATCATGGGGACAAGAGGATAAATAGCGAGGACCCCGCCATGATGAATGAGCTAGGTACAGTAGAATCATATACAAGATAAAGCACAGTATAGCAGTCAACAAATAGCAGTCCATGTGGAATTGGCCTCTTATTGCAAAAAGAACTTTCTCCTCATCTTTATTCAAGTCGATTTCCTTTACATCTCAGAGACATTCATATTCGTCCACCATGTCAAAGGTTGCCCCTGTAATTGCGCTATCCCATGGCGGTGGTAAGTCAACACTACATGATCTGCCTCAATTATCGATATAGCTGACACGATTAGGCCCGATGCCTGTTCTTGGCGACCCTAGACATGAAAGCATTGTCTACTCCCTAAAGAACCGCGTCCCCAAGATCCTCAAGCTTGGCACCCCAGATCAACCCCGAGCCATCATCCTTGTCACCGCCCACTGGTCAACTGCAAAGCCCACCATCTCATCAGGCGCATCTCATAAGTTACTCTACGACTACTATGGGTTCCCTCGTGAATCATACTCTCTCAAGTACCCAGCACCTGGACACCCAGAGATCGCAAACGAGATCGCCGATGCTCTGCGCGGAGAAGGTCTTACACCTGAATTGGATGACGAGCGAGGATGGGATCACGGAGTCTTTATTCCGCTCCTGCTCGTCAATCCCAAGGCCGACATCCCCATAGTCCAGGTCTCGGTTCTTGAGTCAGAAGATCCTGAGGAACATCTCCGCATGGGCGCAGCACTGCGAAAACTGCGAGCCAATAATATCGCCGTCGTTGGCTCAGGATTTGCAAGCTTCCATAACATTCGCGCCATGATGATGCTGGGTAGCTCAGGGCCTGAACAGCAAGCGCAATTCCGAACCTTGTCTGATGAATGGAACAACACATTGACTGAGGCGGCGCTCAAGAAGGATACAGATGAGCGGTGGAAGGCTCTCAAGGGTTGGAGGAAATTCCCCTATGCTGATATGATGCACCCGCCTAATGGAGGTGAGCACTTTATGCCATTGCTTGTGTGCGCGGGAGCAGCAAGGGAGGGAGAAGAGACGAGAAAGTATAACGATGAGTATGTTGGAGTCGAAATTAGTACATTCTACTGGGGATCGGAGGAAGAGAGCAAATTGTAAATGTTTATTGAATTTAGCATTGTTGAATAGAGTATCATGGTTATTTGGTATGCTTGTTCTAAGCCGAGCTTGAGTGTGGGTGCCCCTCATGTCAGAACCTCAATTGGTAACTCCATCTCACTCCCATTGGAACAGAGACCCCTACCAATCCCCTGATTTACAGGTACAAATACCTCTGACAGCAGGTTACATGCAATAGGAAAGATGTGCATCCCTACTGCAGATGCAGGCAGAGTATCAACATCGAAAAGCCGCCTCAAGCCCACTATTCATGACCCGCTGCCGTCATCACTGGCTTGGCTCGCCCAGTTCGCCGTTGTCAAGAGTCTTAGCTGACGTCAAGACGAGAAAAAGATCAAGTCTATAGAATATTAGAGTTCAAGGAAAATCCTGTTGCAATTACATGTGGTCATATTCTGAAAATGTTCGAAACTGGAATTCGGTCGTTGTCCTGCCGTTTAAATACATTCAACGCCGCAAAGCATCTCCCACGCTTCACTGCGCCTCCGACACCTCGCATACAGGCTCACATACGCACACTTACACCATCGCCGCTACAAAAGCTCTATACAACAGCAAGCAGCATGGGTCAACATTACAAGCCCACAATCGACGCAAAAGTCGTCAAGGTCTTTGTTCTCGAGACTGATACTCCTCATCCTCACACTCAGACCGAGCGCGGTTCGTTTGGTGAGATTCTGCATCACCATTTTTCAGAGGCTGGAAGAAAGCATCATCCTCCGCTGGGCGTTGAGACAGAGCAGGTCTTTGTGGTGACAGAAGAGGGCGGCCGTATGCCCAGAGTGGAGGAGTTTGAGGGCTACGATGGACTGCTCATCACGGGCAGTATGTATGACGCGCATGGCGACAACCAGTGGATTCATGACTTGCTCGATCTTTTGAAGCGTGAGTAGCCCGTTATTTTTCTCTTGGAATGTCAACTCACTGTTCCTAGAACTATGGATAAAGCGACCGGACTTTCATTTCACTGGCGTTTGCTTTGGCCACCAGGTTCTTTCCCGTCTTTTGGGAGGCAAAGTTGGCCCTTCACCTACAAACGACTGGGAACTTGGACACAATGCAATCACCTTGACACCCGTAGGAAAACGCCTCTTCCGTACACACGATGACAAAGTCTATCTCCATCAAATGCACCAAGACCAAGTCCTCGAAGCCCCCACCGTTGAGTCATCAAACGGCCTTCTCGAGCCCGACACCGACGTTCATGTCTGGGGTACGAGTAACCACACATCCGTTCAGGGGTTGTATATCCCCAACCGACTATTCACAACACAGGCGCATCTGGCGTTTGATGAAGACATGGTCAAGAGACAAATTCAGATGAGAATTGATAGTGGTGGGATCAAGGATCTAGAGCATGCGGATCGGGCGGCTGAGACGGCGGATCTGGACCATGATGGAGAGCAGGTTGCGTCAGCGATTCTGAGGTTGTTTAGGTACGACGACGATGGTATGTCGTGGGACTGAGCTGGTTTAAATAGACCGGAAGATCGATGGCAATAATTTGGGTAAAATGTTCTAAAAGTAGGTCTAGTATCATGGTACTTTTGCCCTCGGCGTATGAAAGATAAACCCACAACTTGTCGGTTCTCTTCGGCTATGAGATCCGATAATCAATGTCACTGAATGAACCTTTCTAATATTATCATCTATATTTACATTTATCCTGGATTAAGGAGTTTTCCTACCACGTAGATTAAATCATAGGTTATTAGTTGCCATCTTGGTAGAATGAGATAGAGAACTAACAGTTCAAAGGCAAGGAAGGTACAATATATTATGTTACTTCTTATAAAGGGTAATAATTCATTGCGTAGAAATGGCACATGGAGACCAGTATAGGCTTAGTATTTATAACCGAAAATCTTCGTGCATGTTGCTGATCAACGTCACTCTGAGTACAAGTCTGTGCTTGAGTCTACAATCTTGAGTCTGAAAACAGAGATCCCGCATAGTTTTACTCCAAGCTGTTCTAGATATCGTGTATCCCTTTCTTGAGAGGTTCTAATCGTTGCAATTTACTCTAGTCTGCTGGCCCAGACTTATGCACTATGGTGGTCCTAGAAACCAAAGCATGATCGAACTTGTAGAATCAGGACCATGCTCTCAACCAAATAGATACAGGCTTGCTTGTAACCTCCCATTTGCGGTGACAGCTTATTTGGTCTTGATGCTTTGCAGGGACATTATTTGTTTTACCATCGGTTTGGCGGTACAAATTATGTATAAATGGGCATAACATGTGTGAAATATCCGGTGGCCACAAGAACATTATTCACTGGTCACTTACAAGATTGAGAGTTCATGGCAATCGCCCAGTTTCCAAGGTTATGGTGAGTATAATTATGCATCAATTGGTATTAAGTAAATCTGATTTATGATCGATATAAACAAACGCCTTTCCCAAACTCGCTAATTCAGACTGCCAATCGCATTTTTAGCATCAATCATGAAGCCGCAAGCTTCTTCAGCTCCGGCAACGCCCACTGTTTCATCCATCGTGACTCCAGCAGGTCTTTAGCTGTTATCCTATCTTCGGGGCGGAAAGTAATGATCTTCTTCATCATATCAGTAAAAGCCTCCTTCTCATCCTTCAACATGGGCTTCATGCCGCTCTCCTTTCGTCCTTGTTGCACACAGCGCTCAAAGCGGTCATTCCATGTGAAACCGCCCCGCGTAGTGGCTTGGGTCGACGCCTCTTCTTCGACGTCCTCGACCCAGTACTCTGATCGCTTAGCGCCGTAGGCAGACCACTCTTCTGGGATTTCACCAAGAAGATCAATTTGGTCCTGAAGAATGTCATCCTCTGAGAGGGTCCAGGCGTCGAATAGCGGGCGTTGTCCGACGACGTTCCAGAGGAGACAGCCAAGGCTCCAAATATCGGAGCTAAACGAGAGAGGTTGACACACATCGGGGAATTGAGTTTCGGGTGCCCGGTAGCGAATCGGAGCGTTGGAATATTGGCGTTTTTCTTGACTTGGTAAATAGGATTCGCCGAAATCGCCCAGTAAGATCTTTGCATCTGCCAGAGCTACATCCTCGCTCTTTTGACCAAGCCAGATTGGCAGCACAGCGTTTCGGGGTGCATTTTCGTCAAGAGGCAGGCCGTCAAGTCTTGTCACAGGGACTGTCGTTGGATGACTATGTCGCTCGTGAAGTTGATCAGGCGATAATCGCTTGATTCGGTCCGGAAGCTGGAGTAAGATGTTGTCGAGGTGGAGGTCGCCGTGTACTACACCGCCCTCATGGAGGTACGCGATAGACTGCACAACCTGAGCGGCGATAGCTCGGGCAGTCCGTGGTTGAAAGAGTCTTGTGAAAGAGGCGTCCTTTGCCAGACGTAGCGACATCATCGCTGGATCGTTAACCAGACAGGTGTGTCTTCCATTGGGACCATCGAAGTGAAAGTTATCGGTGACATGTCTAATGAGAGACCTTCCAGGATGTTTCTTCCCAGCTTTGGCTTCAAGACGCTGAAGGACATCGACTTCTGTTGAGTCTTCACCGAAATCTGCTAGTACAATTTTCAATGCGGCATACTTTTGTTTCAAGATGTCCCATGAGAGCCATACAGTTGAGTATCCACCGTGGCCAAGCTTGTTGAGGACCAGGTAGCGGTTGTTGATGGTTTCACCGAGGGATACGGGATGGAAGCCTCCATGGCGGTACTGTTCGAGATTTTCGACATGTTCGATGTAGTTGTAGTTGTAGCCCATGTTGATCAGTCTAGTGTTGTGGTCTTCCATCATCATAGCCGGCTGTGTTGTTTGAGCGGTGACGGTAGCTAAACCACGATTGGCAGCTTTTGAGATAAGGCCATTGAAACGAAAAGACTTCTTCCTCGCTCCAGACATGAGGGTGAGTGATGGTCGCCGCAGCGACTTGAGACTGCAAGTAGCCATTTTCACGAAGAGGTTATCGTCTGTCGGTGTAGGTATTTCTTGTGTCCATGGGCGTATTCAGAAATGGGGCCATTCCGTTATGTTTGTTATTAGGTAGGTGTAGTAGGTATAATAGGTGAGATGCAATTTATTCGATAGGTAAAGAGAACGAGAGGCAGAAGATAGATATAGGAAGGGGAGGAATGCAAGAGTTTATGAGTAACACGCAGAAGCCGAAATCCGGGGTAGAATGTGCTAAACTGTTACTCATAGCTCGGAGCTATCATGGGTCACTCTCGGCTCAAGGGAAGTGGATACGGGGGCCGGGCAGAGCCTGAGGCATCATTTCGGCCAAGTTCCGTGTTACGGTGTGAGATTCTGTTGATATTGATATGATTGATTCCCTGGAACAGTCGCATTGAATCGCCAGTTTCACGCGTTAGCGTTGGCGCTCTCCCGGGGTTGTTTGTCGTCCACGGGAGTTGACGGGAGGGAAGATTCTGAAGCTTCTTCTGTATCTTGGCCTTGCTTGGTGGGCCGCGGTTAGGAATCGGGCAAGTTTAGTCGAGGAAGCTAGAAAAGCCATCGAGTCGTGTGACTCTCTAGACGAGTATCAGGAGTAATTGATAGCCGGCATGTTTAACCAGGGGGATAATTGTGTGATTTGGGTGAAGAAGTGGGCATTTGCAGTATCATCATGATATGATGCCTTGCCATTGATGACAGATGAAGGAGCCATTCTTTTCTGTGCCTGATGATAGATGCCGGTTCCGGACACCCGGAGTCTCCACACTCCAGCTACAGCACAGCTACGGAGTACAGCTCCATCTATAACAACAGCTTCAAAATCCGGGGTAAGCTATTGTTAGATCCTTCAGTTGCTTGGCAACTCCGTCTACAAGTGCCCCCAATAAGTTCATCACTCAGAACATCTTGAGCAATACAATGAAGGCCAAGCATCTCCTAGTTAACTATCACATTTGATGTTGTGAGACTCGACCTTGATCAACCATGCAATTACCCAATCAGCATCAGTCACACTTTCTTGACCGCCATCATATGATGCATAAGATCAGCTATAGCAACCCATGCAACAACTGGCTTATTCGTAGCAAGAGACTATTCAAGTATGCCTCGGGGAACAAGAAAACACAGGACCTTCATTTAGGGTGTCAAAATAAACTCAGTAAAATATATCCTAAATTTAGTAAAAATATTCTAAATTTATGTCAAGGTACCTAAGTCTTTTTGTCATTTAGGATCAAGATCTCGAGTTTTCTTTCCTCCCCTAGGTATGTTACCTTGAGGGCATTATCAGGAGATCACCTTCTAAAAATGTTCGATATTATGGGTCGACTGACGAGTCCTCGATTCTCAAACGAGCCTCAAACAGCTTTTTTGATGCGACCGATGCTGGACCGATGTTCTATCAATAGCTTGCAATCAACTCATGCCAGCCCATAGTAGTACAGTGTTTTAGGCATTGAATTGATCTCGGCATATCTCTGTTTCCGGTTGCCCTGCCTCTTGTATCACATAGTGACTTACTTGGAAATATTGGCGCTGGTTATTGTTGACTGAGTGAGCCGCAACCTTGACGATCGGTACTCAAATTATAAGCCTTAAATTCCTTCTGGTTCCTCTCTTCGGTGTAAATTAATTTGTTCTGGCCGATAATAGGAAGTCTTTTAAAACTGTATCTCTGTAGCTGTGCTCCATGTCATCCACTTGACACAGCATTATTCTTCCCTCAATATCTGTCTTGTTCTGTAGTCCATTTCCCGTTTCTCATGTTATTGAACTTTAGGCTTACTCAGAACTGCAGATTGAAGTTGTAATAAGAAGTACAGTGCCATCCGTTAGTTCTCGGGAGTCCATTGTTGTAAAGCCCCCGGGGTCACCAGAAATCGGAACCAATATAGTTGTCTTATCATAGCGTTGCCGTACCCTTCTTTAGAAACACTCAAATCAATGATGGTATAGTAGTAGTTCACTGACATGAGGGGGCCTAAGAGCTATGGCTATGTAGGAGATAGACTATTCGACATCTCTTAGTTGGCATTTTGTGTCTTTCTTGTATGATTGAGACTACTTACTCAATGTCTCACTCGAGCAGCAATTGTATCGTTGCCTGGACTGTTGAGAAAATTCCTCGATGGCTGCTTACTATTGGCTTTGGTAAGCCTTGAAAATCTTTTGTGGACATGATTGACGAACTCTTCCTTTGCATTATCTTCATCGCATCATGTATCCCGGTGTTGTTACAAGTATTTGAAGGCTCACAAGACGACCCTCATCTGGTGCAGCTTACAGCATCTTGTTTCATCATATTTTTATGATAACCTGCTGGAATGTTCGAAGAGTTATCCTTCGGCTCGTCAAAGCTATCCCCAATTCTACACAGACGTGGTTAACTATTCTAATCACAGGCTATACCATGACGGAAACAACCATCCAGAGGCTGGTAATATAGAAGCTTACAACCCGGTCACATACATTACCATTGAAGAGGGGAGATACTGGCCGTAGATGGATGCTCGGTGATGCCTTGGGGGGTATGTGAGGTATCTCAATTTCCACCCCCAGACAGTTCCCAGGTTGGAACTCAATGTTCTATATTTACGACCCAAACTCCCTTTCTACATATTAACTCGTCCTCAAACCGTATATTAAACCTCTCATCACTATACAACATAGAATTCTACACAGAATTGTAGCAACTAAGCTCTCCTTTCGAATTCATCATGTAACCATGTGAGTAACGGATAAATAGACACCAAAGAACTCTCTTACACAGTTCTTGACTGGTTAGCATCGCTTTGAATGCAAATTCACCGTCTGGTATATGTCTAAATATGCAAAAGGGTATATGTTGCCCAAGCCAAGGTGGTCTAGTAAGAACAATTGTAATGCCAGCGTTTTGAGACGAAATACACAGCCAGTCACTTAAAGAGAAATATTCATATTGAATGGCGTCTTGTCGTATGCGGTATAGGAGAGAATACTTCTTCCAGTGCTTTACACTGAAAGCTAAGAACGAAACATACCTCTTTGTGTTCTTCAAGCTCATCCGATCACGACACCAGCAAATATCTCTGCAAGCAATCTCCAACTCCCAAACCAGCCAAGACAAGCCCCATCGAACAAGCATATTCTTCGCGGACAGCTTGGGTAGCTAATCTAACCAAGCTTGTAATTTCTGTTCTTGAGCTTTCACCATCCCGCTAAATATGTACGCCATCACCTCACATGAGATGTGACACACAAGACCGGAAACAAGGCCGGACCAAAGCCATAACGGATGCTGCATCCGGGCAATACTTTGAACAAGCCACTGCGCCCTCTTCTGGCAAGTTATACCGGGAGTCCAAGTCCGCACGCCAATGACACAATTTTTGTATGCAGAATCCTGTTGTCTCTGCACGTCGTGTGATCCTTCATGCATCACAGACTGACCACCACTTTTGATGATCAACGCTGCATGATTCTTGGTCGACGCGAGAATTCACCCCGCCTTTCAGGCTCAAATTCACATACCAAACTATTCTGTGTAATGTATGCACCACTTTTGCTTGTGACACTGGCCTCTTACCCGGCCTATCATGGCTGAGTGCGGGTTGTTGTCCGCCCGCAAACCCCAGGTTTTTGCTTATCAGACTTCAAGATTGCTTCTGTTTTGGGTTGTAAAAGAGTGCCTCGGTTATCTAACCCCGGACGCCTCATGCTTGGCTGCATCTGACTCACACCACTTATCTTGTTCTAGACCAAGAATGCGGTTGACTACTCTATGCGAGTCAATGAGCAAACAGAAACTGGCTCGTTGCCAAGTAACCAATAATTCACATGAGAATATCGTCAAGCTTCGAGAGTTGAAATGGTTTATAATTATTCAATGTTTTCAAGCCTGCTTCTTTGGGCGGCCTTTCTTCTCATAACTAGATACAGAAGCTTTGATAGCTATACAACACATGGGGCTCTTCCGTCCCTGATATTCAATCCACTGTAACTTTTTGTACTCCAAAACTCCGTTTCAAAAGTCATTTCCCATGTGTTCTGTATTCCCTTTCTTTATAATGTAGAGGTGGAAGTTACTGAGCCTTCCTATCAACGCTTCTGGGGTATCTTCTTTTCGCAAATCGGATCGCCGCGTGTCTCATGCAGTTGGTAACAAAGGAAAATGCAAGTATTAAGCAATAAAAGACAAATGTTAAAGCTCATCGATGGCAACTCTATTGGCTGCCATCATCTGATGAGTTGGAAAGACTGCTGAGTCGGTGGGCATCGAGGTGCTCCAGGCTCTCGTACTCAACTGGGGACTCGACAGCAGGGTAGGCAGGGGGGCTAGGAGGCACGTCTTGGTAGACCGGGGGAGCCTCGTTATCCCAGCTGACACCCATGCCAGCATGAGCAGTCATGACAACACCATAGTGCATTCGCAAGATGCGGCCGGTGCCAGTTTGGGTAGCCAGTTGAGGCTTACCCTCGGGAGCGTATTCTCGAGATACAACAAGCTCAATGAGGAGTGAATGTGTCACTTCGACGCCCTCAGCAGACTTGGTGTCACAGGCATACTTGAGCTCCTTGGTGTGAGACTTGTACTGATTGGCAAAGTAATCGAATTCAAGCTCAACCTTGCCATCGGTGCCGCTGAAGTCAGACTTCCAGCCATCGTGGAGGTGCTTCTCGCCGAGGACGCGGACCTCGTTGCGGGGGAGACTCTTCTTTTCGGTGTCTTCAGCTGCAGGAGCATGTCGGTCACAAGCAGGGGCCACGGTCTTGATGGTCTCCTCGAGTCTCCATGTGACCTTCTTTAGTCGCCAGAAGTCAATGGTCTTCGCCTTGTCATTGCGGCTCATGAGACCGTCAAGTCGGAGGCTGACAGTGTTGGATCCGGTGGGATGGATGATGTTGTTGTAGTGGGCGCTGGCTTTGATGTTGGTAGGAGGGAAGACGCGGACAGAGTGGTGAGGAATTTCGTTCTCGGGAAGAGATCGCTTAACAGGGACAGTTCGCTCGAATCG